CCTAAAGTTTTATGATTAAGCAATTTAGTCCAAGGGTCTAACTCTTTTCAAATCAGTCCTCCATGTTTTAAATTTAGTCAAATCAGTCCTTCCTGCCTGTTTCAAACTTAATCAAATTAGTCCCCTTTAAATTTTACTTGTACATGCATGCCTTTGATTTCATCCATTTTAGTCCAAAAGGTTAAAAAATGTTGCAATTTGGTTTATCTCTTTTTCAAGCTTGTTTATTAAGACCCAAATATAAACATGATGAATAAGTTGAATCAAAACCCCCAATTTTAAAGTATGTAACCGTATTTAAACGGAGGATTGTGAGGTGCGCGTATGCCCTTCCTCACTCCTAACCGAACCCCTGAATCTCGATTTTTGTGCAGACCCGTTTTAGGTGACTTGACCCATCTTATAATTTGGATGAGTGGCGACTCCCTTTTCTTATATATTTCACACTTAATTTTTCATTGTTTTGAAAAACCTTAAGTGGCCGTCAATAGTGTGATTTTCCCTCGGATCATATCTTGGTTCAAAATTAATTTCTGTAATGCTCCTAGTGTAGGTTTGTCCTATCCTATACTAGGAGGAAGCTCTCAAAAATAGGACATCATGTTGAAGTGTTCCTGAGTAGGGGGAGCAAAGTTATGGAATGTTGAAGTGTATGGAGTCATGGTTGGTTTCTCCTCTAATAGGGTTGGAGGGGGAGATTGTTGAAAGAAAGTCCAATCCCATGTATGAACACATGGACTTTCCATGTGGAAGTTTGCTTCACCGGCCTATAAGCCAATTGTGGGCTAGATTGTTTTGTTGAAAGTATGCAAGATTGCATGTTGACTCATTTAATGAGCAAAGAAAAATGGTGCATGGGTGGTTAGGATTTTTCACTATAAATACCCATGCATGCAAAGGCAATGTACAAGCAAGAGTGGGAGAAAGTAAGAGAAATTGAGGGAGAGAGCTCTTGTGACGGAAAAGAAAGGGAGAAATGGTGAGAAATCCTTGTGTAGATTAAGAGAGAGTATTAGGGAGAATTTAGGAACTTTTATATATTGAAGTTAGGGTGTTGAGAGCTTCTTGAGTGAGAGAGTTTCTAAATTATTATGCTCTTTTTTTTAATAATGGATTTATTTCTTTCTTTCCCGAGGACGTAGACTTATTGAGAGGTGTACAAGTCAAACCACATTAAATTGTTGTCTCAATTTCTTTATTGCTTCCGTTTGTGTGGGATTGTGGTGTTCAAAATGTTGGAAAAATAGGGAGTTAGAAAATAGATCATTAGATCATTGGCTTCAAGGCGTGTTGCAAATGCCACTTTCCTTTAGGCTAATTTCGCCCCCACCAGATCTGGTATGCAAAAGAGGTAACCCGAAATGCTCATAGGATACAATGAAGCGCCTTGTTGATCTAGCTTTTGCACTAGCAAGATCAACCACTGAACCATCCTTTGGAAAGCGACAAAACAATTGTTTTTGTATAGGGATTTCTCGAGCAATCACAATACAAAAAAGGGCTATTTTATTTAGATATTTCTGGGTTCAAATAGACTCAATCAGAGAAGAAGAGATAACTCCATATTTATAGGGCAAGATGTCTCTTGGAATAGACACTTCTTTTCAAGATGTCTATTGGGAACAAACACTTCTTTTCAATTTTTATCCGTTGGAAACTCTTCCAAAAGTCATTTGGTTTGATTTGAATTCCAACTCACGTGTTTCCTTGCCTTCCAAAGTTATCCACTCTCTTCAGAAACTTATCTAAATTTTATCTCTTATTCTGACGTAAATGGTTCGAACTAGATAAATGTGGTTCGAATCAAATCGTAAATTTTCGAATTTTGTTTTTACGTAAATGATTCGAACCATATAATTATGGTTCAAACCAAAGTTACACTTTCTCAAATGCATTCTGTGCAATTGCTTCGAACCAACTTTTTATGGTTCGAACCCAAATCCTGGAAATATTTTGAAAATTCTTCAACATTCCCCCACCATTTTCAAAATAAAATAGCCCACCAATTGTTTTGGAAATCTTATGCATAGATGAAGGTATCTTACGATTTGAACCTTTCACTTAGTGAACATGTGTTGGCAAATTAATCAGAATTACATGGTAGACTAATGCTTTGAACCAGCGATTCTAAGTGATTAATTGGGCACATGTCACACACAAGACTTCAAGCTTTCCAAAAAAGGAATTCAGCATCCACCGACACAAAAACTGGCCATGTGTCCTATATCCTTTTCATGAGTGTTGTTAGAGTCAAGTCCCTAACTCCTAGAAGCGGCACCACTTCCACTCATGTAGGTAGATCCCATCAAAAGTGCCACCACATTAAGCACTTCAACAGAAATCTGTTATAGGACCTATTAAGAGTAAAACTCATCCTTCTTTTTGTTTCATGTGGTTACCAAGTACTCTTCCACTTGGGATGGTATTTTTGATAAATTGAGTACTTGCAGTTACATTTATATGATGTACTTTACTCATTGAACTTAAGACTTGAAGTTTTTATCAAGCGTTAAGTCGAGGTTCCATCATGTGTGACTTTGTCAATGGACTTGAGACCCATCCCTCTCTTTGTCTTGTGAATTTTTCCTTTTGATAATCCTTTTAATCAAGGATTCATGAAGTTAATTCACACAAGACCTTGCAAAGATTATGGTGATCACCTCATTTAAGAATGTCTTTATAAGCACTTGATGACATCCTATTATTTTTAGTCATCATACACATTCATATAAGAATGTCTTAAAATAATATGAATTCTTGAAAAGTATAGACATCTCCAAGAACAAGCGCTATCACTTTTTCTCAGGAACAAGTGTTGTCACTTTTAAACAGTGCCATATAATCTTGTAATATCATGAACAAGTGGAATTCTTGCTTCCTCCACTTCATTAAATTTTATTTGCTTTTCATGTGTCAAGGACTTTTAGTCCTTATTCCTCTCACTCTTGGGATTGTTCCCATCATTTTAAATATTGTTTGCCAATTTTATGACATTAACATTCTTCAAGAGAGGCACATTAGGACAGTAAAAAATGTTTCAAATCTTCTTGATACTTTCTGAGTTTCCTACGTAATTGGTTCGAATCATCTTTGAGTGATTTGAACCAAAAATTCTGGAACAATTCAAATCATTAGATTCATTTTCCATGAACAAGAGCTATTCACTCTTGCTGTTTATAGGATTCTTTAAATCCATATTTCTTTATCTTTTGGACCATCTTTCTAGGCTTCCAAAAATCAGTCAAGTGCACAAGGTTGCACAAGTTTCTACAAATGATCTCATTAAGAGATAGCATTTAAACAAGGATTCAAAATCCTTCATGACTTATCAAAACTGAGAGCCTTTTTACTTGGCCTCTTTTCTCTTAGTTTATACTAAGACCATTAGTTGGATCTCCAAATGGGTTTGCCAAATCCATTTTAGTATTTCTTTCTTTAACATGGCTAAAGAACCATCATGAGACTTGATTTTCACTTGTTTCAATATTCATATGCTGGTATATAATCTTACAAGCATAAATAAAAGGCATCAAAAGTAACAAGTAGGAATATGCTTTAAGCAACCTTTCATTAATGAAACATGACCAGATTCATTAGCCTCTTATATTTCCACAAGCCTCATATTAAAAACAGTAATCATGTTTAACACATGTACAAAACTCAATGATTTTAACTAAAACTGTCATATACATAAACATGCTTATAACATAATCCAAGTAAAGGAAATCTCATTGACTTTAATAAGCCTTAAGCAAACCTTAATAAGATCAGGTCTAGAAGTAAGATATAGTACTTAAACTCCATAAAGCTTCATAAGTATTCATCAAAAAATAGTAAATAATCATTGTTAAATGAAAAGAAAAACAGAACTTCATTTGTATCACATTAGTAATCTCAAAATCAAGGCACAATCATGATCTTAAAACATGATCATATTCAAATCCATAAATATCTTCCTTCTCATAGCCAAGAACCATGCTATCAAGTCTGAGATTTATTTAATCTCCAAATGGGATTTAAAGACCCATTTTATATCTTTTGCCTCATTATGCCAAATGACTTTTAATTATGAATCTTTACACTGTCATTTGCATCTTCGATAACTTCTTTGAAGCCATTCTCCAGGAGATGTTTTCTCCTCGTATATAATTAATTAAACATTAACAAGAGAACTATCACCCATGCATGAATAGCCCATGATATAAATAGTGCGTGTGCCAAAACTCAGAAAAATTCATGATTTAAGAAATTGTAATATGAATTTCTTACTAATTTCAAAATGTATTATTTCATTCTATCATTTTACTGGTTTTCATACCTGTTTCAATATTGCAGTGAATCTCGACTCATCTTTGTTTCATATCTTCTCCAGACTTGGAAATTTCAATTGCTTCCTTCATGAACAGAATCATGTCTCCATTGTTTCCTCTTTCATGAAAATAGATTTCCTTTGCTTTATTATTGTGAAACGTCTAGCAACCATCGCCTCATCTATGATTGATCACCATTTTGATGGTCGATGAATCACCATTTTTGCCCACGATTTAAAGTGCCAAAAATCCATTTTGTTTTGCCATTGTTGCACGCCATATTTCCTTGGCTTCACATGCATTTTAACGCAAGTTTCTTCTCAATTATACAATAAGCCATGATCTCAAAAAACTGGAGACATTAGCCTAAAGATTGTTGGAGAAATAGGGGGTTAGAAAATAGATCATTAGATCATTGGCTTCAAGGCGTGCTGCAAATGCCACTTTCCTTTAGGCTAATTTCACCCCTACCAGACCTGGTATGCAAAAAGGGTAACTCGAAATGCCCATAGGATGCAATGAAGCGCCTTGTTGATCTAGCTTTTACACTAGCAAGATCAACCACTGAACCATCCTTTGGAAAGCGACAAAACAATAGTTTTTGTATAGGGATTTCTCGAGCAATCACAATACAAAAAGGGGCTATTTTATTTAGATATTTCTGGGTTCAAATAGACTCAATCAAAGAAGAAGAGATAACTCCATATTTATAGGGTAAGATGTCTCTTGAAATAGACATTTCTTTTCAAGATGTCTATTGGGAACAAACACTTCTTTTCAATTTTTATCCGTTGGAAACTCTTCCAAAAGTCATTTGGTTTGATTTGAATTCCAACTCATATGTTTCCTTGCCTTCCAAAGTTATCCACTTTTTTCAGAAACTTATCTAAATTTTATTTCTTATTCTGACGTAAATAATTCGAACCAGATAAATGTGGTTTGAATCAAAATCGTAAATTTTCGGATTTTGGTTTTACGTAAATGATTTGAATCATATAATTATGGTTCAAACCAAAATTACACTTTCTCAAATGTATTCTGTGCAATTGCTTCGAACCAATCTTTTATGGTTCGAACCCAAATCCTGGAAATATTTTGAAAATTCTTCAACACGAAATTCCCAACAGCAGCAACACTGGTATGTTGATGTCGAGACTTGAAAGTTGGAAATTTCTGGTTGTGATTCTGTCAAGTCTTTCCCAACAGGCAAATTACCTATCACGCTTAAGTACTTGAGAATAGCAGACTGTAAAGGTTTGGGGTCTCTACCAGATACAGATGGTGACACTAATAGCAATC